TGGATGCAGAGAGATAGGAACACTCATACACTGCTGGTGGGACTGCAAACTAGTGGAAAGCAATATGGAGATACCTCAAAGGGCTACAAGTAGAACTACTATTTGATTCAGCAATCCCATTACTGGGCATCTACCCAAAAGAACAAAAGTCACTTTATAAAAAAAGACACCTGCACCTGAATGTTTATAGCAGCCCAATTCACAATTGCAAAGATGTGGGAACAACCCAAGTGCCCATCAATACATGAGTGGATTAATAAAATGTGGTATATTATACCAAGAAGTACTATTCAGCTTTAAGAAACAATGGTGATATAGCACCTCTTGTATTCTCCTGGATAGAGCTGGAACCCATTCTACTAAGTGAAGGATCCCAAGAATGGAAAAATAAGTACCACATGTACTCACCAGCAAATTGGTTTCACTGATCAACACCTAAGTGCACATATAAGGACAACATTTACTGGGTGTCGGGCTGGTGGGAGGGGGAGGAGGGGATGGGTATATGCATACATAATGAGTGCAGTGTGCACCATCTGGAGGATGGGCATGCTTGAAGCTCTAATTTGGGGGCAGGAGGAGGGGTAAGGGCAACATGCGTAACCTAAACATCTGTACCCCCATAATATGCTGAAATAAAAAAAAAAAAAGAAAGCATGGAGACAGAATTATCACAGTAAAGCTAATATGGGGATGCCTGTGAGGTGAGGGGTATATTGAAACAAAGTGAGAAAGCAAATGTATTAAAGAGACTCTTTGAACTATAGTTATGACAAGGAATATAACTACACAATTCTAAAACACTGGCAAAGACTGATTGCCCACCATGCATTTTCCCCTTTCTTCTTAGTAACAGAATCCAGTATTATTTGAGGCAGCAATGCACTCGACCAAAACAAACAAACAAACAAACTGTATTCCCAGCCTCTTTTGCAGCTAAATGTGGACTAAGTTCTGGGAAACAAAACATAAGCATAGGAGTGGGAGGTAAAAGGTAATTCCTTTTATCTCCTGTTCCTCTCTCCTACTGACTAAAATACAGCATGATAAACAATCAGGCGACTTTGAAAATGAAAGGCATATATAAAGGATGGTGCAGAAGAAATACAGGAGCCCTCGCAGGCCCTGATAATACCATGGTGCTGTGAACCCAATCCTAGACTGTCCTGCCCTAGATTCTTACATGAGAAAGAAAAGAATTTCTTTCTTATTGAAGCCACTGTTATTCCATCCCCAACACCCACTCCACTCTGATAGATTTGGCCAAACCTAATCCTATCTAACAGAAATACTGATTTATAAAAAGATACATTTTGTTTTTATAATAAAGACCAACCCATGGACTAAAGAGCCATATGATGTTAAAACTAAAGAAGTAATAATGCATTATAGTTCATTTAAATAAACAAAATAAGTACAATGAAAATATAATATAGCGTACCTAAGAGATTTTTAACTTAAGGTGCATAAAAGGATTTCAAAAAGTCTGAGAACCCCCTAGAATCAAAAGAACATTTTCTAAGTATGCCCACATGTATATGTTTGGAGGAAGAATGTTCAGAGTGTGAACAAAAATTCTTCATGGACGAGAATCAAATTCTTAATGAGATCCATGGCCCCTTTAGAATCTTGAAGTTCTGTTTCTCATTCTTCCTGTTACATTTTAAATATATTTCCTCATGCTAGATCGTTCAAAAAATTGGCTAATAATAAATCTCTAATATAAATTATACTTTGAGGATATGATTAAGATTTCCCTTTGTGAATTTTGAACCCACATGAGTGCTATTCATCTTTTACTCACTCTCTTACCTCCACGTGGTAATTCGGTATGAAGATAAGCCAGTCCTCTAGTCACAGAATGAGCCAGACGGCAAGAGCTTACCCAGTCACTTGTATGGAGACTCAAATACTTGCACAGAGATCCCTATATAGAGGAAAAAATGCCAAAAAAAAAGTGGAATTAATTTATTTTAACATGAAGAGGTAAGTTAGCAACCTTATAAAGAATTTGCATAGGCTAGGATTCCATTAAAATCTAATGAACTACTACATTTTGGAATCTTGAAAGAGTATAACATTTCTGTGTGTACACAGAAGAGGAGAGGATGGAAAGGAAAGGAGAATTTAAACAGTATCAATTTTTATGTTTCTAATATTAAGAATTATGAGTGGTTATTTCCTTTTAAACAATTCCTTGATCTACCAAATTAGGATAAAAAATAACCAGTAGAAATACAAACTATATTATTATCTTTCATTAAGTAGAAAACAGAAGGCCTTTGTAAACATATATGTATCAGTGCTACTCAAAGTACTTATCCACAAACTATTACCAGTCTCTGATGAGATAAGGAGCTTGCACCAGAATGAATGTCAAAGTACTGCTTCCTTCATTGAGAAAGTCTTGCTATCAAAAAAAAAAAAAGGAAGATAGAGAAAGAGAAAGGAGAAAGCTGAATACACAGTACAATTAATGATGCAGTTGATTCACACTCTGGTGTGAGACCCTTATTTCATTAAAGACCATTAATAACCAATTTTCGAAACAGCAATGCTCTCTCTCCATTACAGTGGTCTTCCTGAAAGTCTGATTAACAGCTAATATAAATGTCAGTTTATAGTTTACGAAGAACTTACATTGGGATAATACTCCATCACGAGCAAACACTCTGTGCGTCCATCTGCAATGAGTCTCTCATCTCCAACTATAAAGCGAGCAATGTTGTCATGTTCCATCAAAGGCACTCTGTAAATATTTTTCTCATTGATAAAATTTTGACGGTTTGCAAAGGAAAATACTTTTACAGCAACTGGACGTTCATCCAAGGAACCTTTATATACTGCTCCATATCTACCCCGGCCAATCAGCTGAAAGTGTTTTAAAGAAAGTAAGGTATTAATTCATATCACAATTGAACAAAGATACTAAATAATAAAGTACAAACCTATATGGTATGCCACAGCTCTCTAACATTTGCAGTTTACTCCATTATCAAGAAAATAATAAAGTCCATATCTGGTATGACTGAGCAAACGCCTACTAGACCTAGCCTGCCCATAAACAACAACTATAAACTCTGAACAAAATTAAAAAAAAAAATCTAAAGGCAATAGACAATAAACAAAAGCAGACAGATCCTGAGAGGTGTCAAGGCTTAGAAGAAAGAAATGGCACAAGGTGAGCCACCCATTTTTATGGCTTTTAGCCTGAGGGCAGGCTGAAATCAGCACTGTACAGTACAGCTAAAACTTCGATAGGAAATCCATAATCTTTCTGGCCCTGGGAACCCAAGGACATAATTTGGTGCAACCATAGCTGCTGAAAAGTGAGAAGAGAATCCCAGAAAGGAGAAAGTCAGAGGGGGAAACCCAGTGAATACACAGAACAGACTTCAGCTAAAGATAAAATAACTGAACTGAAATTTGAACTTCTTCCCAAGAGACAAGTTTGCACTGTGTGTCTGACCAAGTTAATTGCTTACTGAAACAAACAACAAAAATCAAAACAATTTAGAACATAACAGCATCCAGGGTCTCCACAATATAATATTCACAATATCTAGGATACAGTAAAAAATTACTCAACACAAAAAAAACAGCAAATGTGGCCAGGCGCAGTGACTCATGCCTGTACTCCTAGCACTCTGGGAGACCGAGGCGGGTGGATCGCTCAAGGTCAGGAGTTTGAGACCAGCCTGAGCAAGAGCAAGACAC